CTCAGTACCTTTACAGTATGTGTTTGAAGAAATCTATTTGGGCTCCGTTTTACAATCCAAAAATTATATCGGTTTGTTGGAAAAAAAAGGCATAGTAAAAAAACCAATGACTTTATCTCTCGATACCATGTATTTATTCATCTTATACTAATATGACAATAGTTACTTATAAAAATATTCTGGTCACATCATATCAAAAGTAAATCTATTCAAATCCATTTGCGGTTGTAATGGTCAACTGAGAGCTATTAGAGACCCGTGCTTTATACCTACTCGTTACAAGAGGGTTGTAAACTATTATTTCGGTTCGACTCTCGTTTACAATGAACTGTGAAATATACTGGGCGATGTAATTTCAACCAACTTAGGATTGATTCGATATTCTGATGAATGATGAAAACCTATTTATAGTAGCTTTCTTACAATCACTTCAAGTTTTTTAATGGTTTCTATGATAGACATTAAGAAACACTTTTATCAATGGTCGTATCCGGTCATATCGATCTAATCTCTATTTGAGGAAGTCTTTCATCGAATTCGATGATTATATTTCACTCGATATTTCAGTATCTTGGTACGAGTACCTATAATATATAAAGTCAAGTACCTATATATTCCAATATATAGATCAACAGACACAAAATAGTAAAATTTCAAATACTTTTATATACATACTAAAAACAATAAAAAACACGTAACAGCTTGATGAAAGTTATATGGTTAGCAAATTCACAAAACAGTCACATTTGTCCGAGCATTTGTCCTTATTTGAATGTACGAAAATATCGATTTTCCACAGCAATATACCCAAAAAAGTACACACTCTTACGCGAGCTTACGTGATAACCACCTACTAACTCCATCCTTCTAAAAACATGACCCTTTTTCAGTTGGCAGTTCATGTATATCGATAAAATGTAATTATTTTGAGTTTTTGTTTCAATTTTGTTATTCGTGAATGAGACGAGAGCATTGTTTCAATCACCCGATTCGGAAACGTTGGAAATTTACAATTAATGAATCTTCATCAAAAGTTGACCCTTAAATATTTTCTTCAACGTTAGAAATATGGAATAATCACCAATTCATTTGTCATATTTATCTCATTCAAGTGTTTCTTCGAATCAACATGTCTTCTCATGTGGTACCTGATAAACTTTGAATAGGTACCTATCTATATTGATCTCATGTTGTATGTTTCATTTATCTCAGTCAGATGTGAGTTGTCTTAAGAACTTATTGAGACTATTTCTTTTCCTTTACCCCAACTTAGTTTGCTATTCATCTGGTGTTAGTGGTGTTGTAGTGAGAAAGAAGTGAGACTGGATAAATTCTAGTAATTCTGTGGTTCTGTGCAATCTGTGCTGAAAATTGTGAGGTTATATTCTCATTTTGACATGCTTACAGCTTTGAAGATTCAGTCCACAGGTCAAATCCTTTGAAAAGAATAATTAATTTGTTTCCAAAATTCCTTGATATAGGAGATAAAATCCAATAAACATATATTATTACAACTCTAAGACTGGTGTGATCACAGACAGAAATAATGCTTATATCATTCACGGAAATTCGATTCTATTATGTTGGGTTATGTTTTCTTTCCATGCCCTTCCTGACAGATAAAAACGTGTTTTTACACATCATTTGTCATATTTATCTCATTCAGGTGTTTCTTCGAATCAACGAATCTTCTCATGTGATACCTAATATACTTTGAATAGGTACCTATCTATATTGAGCTCAGTCGAAGATCTTGTGGATTGTATAATATTATAGTAAAAACGAAGATGATTAATCGGTATGGTACTTCACCTTCACCTCGGAATTGCAACATTATATTTTGTTGAAAACGTAACTTGTTTCTTATGGCTCTTCCGAATCCCGAAGTTAAAGATTATCTGTCTCTTGTAGTCTTGTGGTAGGTATTCGTCCGATAACTCAGATTACCCTAGAGGCGTGTGATAGGATAGATAGAGCTTCATACCGACCACTTCCCACTTCCTTTGGACATGTTAAACAAGTGTCGTCGAAACTCGTTAAACTTTTCCTCAGGAATTAATTGCGATCCCATCCCATTCTAACCGCCGTTCGTTCTCAAGTTATCCTCTCATGTTACCACTCTCATTTTATTAAAAAAGTTGTTACGGCTGACGTGGTACTTTGCCGCTTCTCTGTCCATTTAATCGTGTGAATTAATCGTTGGAAATTCTATTAGTAGGTATACAGGGTATGTCATGACGAGCTCACGCTATCTTCATATCGAGAATCAGGCTGCAGAAATCCATGAAAATGTTCAGGCTTGTATTTTTGAAAACGCTCTCTTCATTTAAAATATTTTCGACAATGCAGTGTTGCCGCTTCTGCTTGAAAGTAGTAGCAACATTGATATTTCAAATGGGACACCATGTACTCTATCGTATTTTTAGATTCTCCCTGAAGAGCTGATTTCATCGATGCATCACACTTTGAATCTATGCAATAAGATATCAGAGATATAGGTTGTTCAAAATCGAGACTTTTCAACTTTAAGATTTTGTCGTGTCGAAACTATTCATTATCGGTCGAAACGGCTCACATATCCCTATCTCAACTTTCGATTCACTATTTACTGATATTTGATGGGAATAGATACTGGGTCTCAGAATTCTGATCACCCTTTATCTGTTCCAATTAAATATCAGTAAATAGTAAATCAAATGTTGAGATAGGGACATGTGTGTATGGGTAGGTATACATATGCAATTTCATTAGCATTTTTTATATACGTAGCTACATTATTTTGCAATAGATACAAGCTTTTTCTTATTGCTCATGATGTTGAAATCTGATTGGTTGAACATTGTTGAACATACAAGCATAATTCATTCAAAAGTACCTACTATTCTTCTAATTTTGGCACACAAAAAAAGTTAAAATTGCATTTTGGATTATACAGTGTTTCTATAATGATCTCGATAATAATACCTACAGCAAATTTCAGTCATAATAAGTAGTATCAATATATAGGTACTAACCACCTTATCTTATCATTATTTTGTAACCTCGTTTGTAACAAAATAAACATTATTTTCCAGTAATATTATTATATCTATAAATACCTAGGCACCTTATAGAGTAGGTAGGTATACATAACTACACAAAAGTGCAACACTTTATTGATGTTTAATTAAGGCGTGAACATCATCCACAATTCCAATAAAAAAAAATGTATTAAAAAGTGAAATGAGTGTAGTTTTTATTCATTTTATTCAATAAAACTGATGAGTAGGTTTGATTGAATACATATTTGATTCTCATAAAAATTACTTTGAATTTAATGAAGAGATATCTCGAGATATATCGAGAGAGATATTAAGGATTTGTGTGACCTGAAAAAAAGTTCCCACTGGGATTTAACCTTGGATTTAACCCATATCTTGTCAGTTGTACAATAATTGATGTTCAGTCGGATGTTCATCATACAGGGCGTGGAAAAAATTCGGAATTGATACGATACAATCCAATCATGAATCTGTGATATTTTCGTCTTAAAAACACAAATTTCACAATGAAAATATGAACAAACCGCCATCTATTGCGATATTTTACGAAAAAATGCGAAATTTCACCATGTTTTGCCACCCATCTTGGATATCCATTTACAACTGTTTGTCCTTCTTGGACTCACGTTGTACTTCAATAACACATTTTATTTCCTAAAATCAACAAGAAGTATGGTTTATTTGGATTTTTTTCATATTTTAGTGAGATAAACAATCACACCAGCTGACGCCCATGATGTGGCCATAATAATCAAATCTAAATACAAATCACAGAACTCAAACTAAAAATGGGAGATGTCAAATAAAGATCAAATGTCAAAAAAATTTGCAAGAAACTCACCTCACTATATGAAAAAAATCCAAATAAACCATACTTCTTTTTGATTTTAGGAAATAAAATGTGTTATTGAAGTACAACGTGAGTATATTTGAAGTGTCCAGTGATGGAAAAAGAAGGCCAAGTAGTTGTAAATGAATATCCTAGATGGGTTGCAAAAGAATGTGAAATTTCGCACTTTTTCATTAAGTGGTTTGTTCATATTTTCATTGTGAAATTCGTGTTTTTCAGGAGTAAATACGTAAGTAAAAAAAAAATTTCGAAAAAAAAAACTTCACATGATAAGTGCACTTTTTTCGTATTTTTTTATTTATTAGAACATTCCTATTTAATAACCCTCCCTTTTGTTGGAAGGTTTGTATTAATCATATTAGATATGAGTTTATACTCCTCAGTGTACTCCTTGATATAATAACTCTTGAATTATGTACTACAGTTCATTATTTGGTGGTTGGGAAGAAGGTTGACCTTCAAAATTAAACAACCAATCAAAACACTTTGAATCCTCTTTTCACATGGTAGGATTGGTAGGTATCTCACCCTGTATTCTGGTTGGTAATCTGCTGGGTAGGTATTCTATTCTGTTACTTCTGTTAGTGAGAAAGTGACATCTGATGATATTTTCATGTCCTGGACCTGGAAGCTCCTGGATTTTGAAATGGTATGTTGACACGTCTGGATTTAGATATCCCATAATTTTACCTATATTTTTGACCATAGTCTTGGTAGTGACAATATCACAATTATTGCACTCAACAATTTACCTACCGCACTAGCAATTCACAAATTTCCAATATGAAAATCCATGCATATCCATAATTTGAAACTAATTGGAAACATCGAGGAAACACATTCATCAAGTTCATCATTATACCTATTCCGATTTCTACTATTTCCACTAATCAAAACATAACCTCAACCTCAACTTCGAGGAGGAGCTGCAAAGCCCTATAAACCCAACAAACCCCCTCATTAATTCCCGAAGATAACAAAGATATCAAATCACGCCCATCATTTCTTTGCTCTTGCCAGTATTTACAAATATTCCATTGTTTAGGGCGTGTATGACTTGGAAAACTCGCAGAAAGATGCCTGAGAAAACATATGACAGGGGTACTTACACGACCATTCCATAGGCGCCTTCGCCTATGTACGCGAGGTTGGTGTACCGTGGCCCCACTTCGAAAATCTGGCCTCTAACAACTTCAGCATTCGGGTTAACACTTGACGCACCTGTGGCTTCCGCCATTTTCAGCCAGACTTGCCAGCAATCTGCCTCCTTTCTGCACCACACTCTCGCGCAGACTGACAAGACTTGTGAGTTGCGAACGAGAGCGAGCAGAAATTATGAAATTAATTGAAAAGTAGGAATCAAAGGAGCATGTTCCAATGAATTTAGATAAATTATCATTGATAAAATGAAACCCTGTTCAGTTGGGAAAGTTAATTTAATTTCATGTACAATAACAAATCCACAAATAATAATAGAATGTCATTTCATTTCATCCATCAAATAATAAGGAATGTGAATATGCTGATACTGAATGTAGCAGAAAGTAGAATCGATAGTTCTATCTCTGGCGATTTATGCGAACTATCCACAGCAGACTATAGAAACCTGTAATATTACTGCTTTTTATCTCGATTTTCAATCCCTAGATGGCCATGTTGAAAGTGCTCGATTGACATTTGACTGATTAGACGTGTATGCCGTATGGTGTCATGTCAAGTTGACTGAGTGTTGTTTATTGTTTATGTTCCAGTATTAAAGTGATTGAAATTATTTATTTCATTTGTGATTTAACTAGATAAATAAGTATGAATGCGCCACCGACATTCGAGTCATTTTTGTTATACGATGGAGAGAAAAAGTAAGTTTCAGTTCTTGAAATGTTTGTTCTAACCTCATTTCTTTCCAAGGATTATCAGAGAACAGGATACTAAAGTGCCGAATGCTGCTATTTTCACGATAAATAAAGAAGATCACACACTCGGAAACATGATTAGAAAGTAAGTTTCCTAAAGTACAAATAATGGATATTGAAAAATATAAATGTTTCATTATGTCTTTGTGATGTTATGCCCCTTTATCATTGTCTTCTTGTTGTTTCCTGTTGAATTTTGGACCATTTGATTTTTTCATTTCAGCCAACTATTGAAAGATCCAAATGTGTTATTTGCTGGATACAAGTTACCACATCCTTTAGAACATAAATTTGTACTGAGGATTCAAACAACTTCAGATTATTCACCTCAAGAAGCACTTATGCATGCTATCACTGATTTAATATCAGAACTATCATTATTTGAAGAACGTTTCAAGGTGGGTACTGTCTGAGAACACCTGTTATTGATAGAAAATGTATCATCATTTATTTTCAGGAAGCCATCAAAGAAAAGAAGGAAGGATTGGATTGACATTATTTGACTCCTTTGTTTATTTTCACAATTGTTTAAGTATCATTAGGAAATATAATTTTAATATTAAAAATTGATGATGGTAATAAAATTATTCCACCAGCTTGAAAGATAAATGATTTTTATTTAGTCATGAATTCAGAAAACAAAAAGATCCTAGAGATTGGTTCCATCTTTCATAACCTAGCACCACCATATTGCATAATGCTTTATGAGTATTTTATTGAACAAAACTGCAGATCAGAATCAATGCATCATTGTGAATAGATTTACTACTCTATAACTCTACTACTTTCTGGTAGGATAACGTCTATGTAATCTTCTTTGGAGCTAAGTTGGCGCCGATTCTAAACGACATCTAGCGTGAAACCGTCGGAAGTTGAGAATTTCTTACTCTACCAATAGCGCCCACCATGTTCATATCATATATCTACTACCATTGAGTAATCATCAAGGCTACTACTCATATGAAGCATAGCTGTCCTCAAAGCAGGACCAATGAACTTCAATAAACAACTGAGTTCATTGACATAAACCTTTGAACATTAACCTCACAAATTCAGATCAATCGCTTTGCACGGTCAAAATTCTCCGAGCCTTAAGATCTTTGTCAGATCGCTCCGATTTTATTTGCCGAATGGATGAGATCTACTTCCCCTACATCACTCTACTGTGCCTACATCTACATAGATGTCATAAACTAACAGGACCAACTTCTGTCTCTATAAGTAACGAAATCGACCAATAGGCGTTTATGCCGACGTAGGGAAAAAATAATACGAAAGTTGTCAATCCAATGTGGCTGTTTCCATCCTTCACTTTCCGTCCTTATAGATTCAAAAAGTACCTCTCATTTTGGTCCCATTTTTGTTGAGATATCGTATAGGCGATGGGCCATATATACAAATAGTACATATTATATGGTTCATATGATGGAACTAGTTCTAAGGAGCAATTAAGGCAAGACTAAAGTGGCGTAGCCCTAGCTGACGGCGGCGATAACTAGAACACTTCTGAGCTGTTTATTGACCAATAAGCAAATCAATAAATTATTATGATCCTGAAGCATTTGATGGTTTTAGGATCTTAATTCATCAACCTAAAACCCATCCCCAGATTTTTTATCTGTCATCAAGTATTCATTAATCCATTGTATACTAGTAAAATAAGTTTTATTCAGGAAATAACAAACAAGGTCAACAACAATCAGTTTCTCAATAAATAGGCACTAAATTAAACATTAATTATCACTGGTTTTAAAATTCCTGATCCTCTTTGCAATCTTCGGTAGTATGTCCAAACACTAAAAAAAAAAACCAAGAAATTCGACATCACAAACACATTTTTTGTATCGCCAATCTCACCTTCGCATACATCACAATAAGGCCTCGGAGGAGGTTTTTCTTTGCTTTCTCCACCCCTCTGATGATTGCTTATCTCATCGTCTGCTTGGGTGGGACAATCTTCCGTTTCGTGAAGGTCAAATTCTTCACAGATATCACAGTACATCCTGGGGGCCGGTTTCCTAAAAGTCAATTAGTTTCCATGTAGACAGCATCAGAGATTGCTTCACAATTTTTGTTGTCATGGCTGTGGTTGACTAATCTCTGTCATGGTTTTGAATATTAGGTTTCCTTTTGTGGCTGGAAAACTATACCCAGTTTTCTGACAGCACAATTTTGAGAAAAATCAATAAAAACGCCATCAAAGATGTGTTTATGATTTTGTTTGTCATGCATTAGAATGTTAGGTTTATTTTGTCAACAGAAAAAACAAGAGTATTTTATAGGATAAATTTCTAACGCAAAAAAAATGCCAATCAGTAATTACGAGAAAAACTGACTTGAACAAATTGCGAGACCGTAGGTAGAGCAATTTCATCAGTTTATCCAGAGAAATTAATCTAGGAAAATTGTTGAGTTTGTAAGGAAATTTATCAAATTAAAAAAAAAGTGAGTGTTTTTCGGTAAGAAGAATCAACGACAATATACAAATGACCAGCAATAATTATTAATTTTATTTAGGATTTCGTGTTTTTTGTTGTGTGCGTAATTGATTTTTCAATATTTTATGTGGTTTCTTCAAACAACATTTTCCTAAAACGACTCATCTTACTAATTAATTCACGCGAAAATACTACCCAACAATCAGACAGGACAGAAATTGAAATGACAAGCGCATACTAATTTTGAGGAACAGTCCGATGTCAAAATTTCACTTCATGATCAAATAGCGTTTTCATAGATGTATAGAAAGTCAAATGGTGTTATCACTTTCTATTTAAAGGAGTTTCGCAATCTCTCGATATCGCCTACTTTATTGTAGAAATAGCGAGGCGTGGGAGAATCTTGCTAAATTTCCGAAGTTTCGAACCAAATTTACAGGCATCATGACACATTCATTTGAGTTCACATTTTCATTTTCACAATATTTTGTTCAAATGGAAACGGTGCGTCATATTTTCGACTTTCAATGGTGAATTCTTGAACGACATGAAATCTTCTCAAGAAAATCCTGTGATGTGAGTTTATTTACTCACTTTTTGTGCATAAAATACAACGAATGTTCGGATTTTCAAATAATCCTCACACATTGCAGCAGTCAGTCCATGATGAAAGCACAATACACCCACTCAACCAATAATATATACCTGCTTTGCTTGATGAACTGCTAATGCTCTTAATTCATGATATTTTTATTTGAAATTTGAACAAAATCTTTTGAATATATCGAAAACTTGACACTTGTGACAGATATGTCAAGATCAATATATTTCCGAACGGATTATTTGTTGTGCCCTGTCTCTTTCACTAGATGTTTCTTATCAGCTATTATTGAATTTGTGCATCATCAACGGGACTTTTCAGGTCCCGTAAGAAGGAAAACACATCATTAAAAGTCTAGTTCAACTTCCTAATAACATTCGAAACGCATTTTGAAAGTTTTCAAGAAATTGTCTATCGTTCACGCCATCTATCATCGAATATGAGAACCGCACGTTCCGAACTCGCATTCAATTGTTCATATCGAGAGCTGGTCTGACGGAAACAATTGAAGAGTGGGCACACCAGAGGAATTATAAACATCTCAGCGTTTTCTATGGAGGAGTTGTTTTATCTCTGAGGAAGTAAAGGCAAATCATTTTGAAAGTGAAGGCAAACTGTTTTCACTGTCATTCAAACATTTTTATACATGAATTATAACCACCTGAAATCAGTTTTGAAGCCCATTTTGGTGAGCTCATCTGCAGCCGATGAACTGTACCCCATTTCCAAAATCTCAATCCTCGCTTGTTGCACTTCGTTCTTCTTCTGCATGTCGACTATGATCGAATTGAGAAAGGCCACTTGATTTTCGGCCATCAGTTTCTCCTCCAGCAGCTGCTTGTAATCATTGGCGGTATTAATGGCGGCCTGAATGGAAAAACAAAGGACCCATGCAAAGCCAAAGCAAAACGAACCACAAGAAAGAGAAAGTGAAGAAGCAAAAATAAAAAGATGTGTGCTAGGTGACAGGAATGAGAAACATATTTTTACAGCTAGCCAATTCAAAATGCTTCGGATTGTAAGTTGTTCATAACCTGGATACAATTCCATTAATATATTTTCAAGTCATATATAAATGAACTAATTACAATTCTCCCATTTTTCTCAACACTTGGGATAATTTGAGAGAAAATATGTGTAATATAGGTATTGGAGCTGAACTTCAGATGAATCTGATATTGAAGATATGACATTAAAGAATACACAACATTTTTCACTCAGATTCATTGATAGCAAAAATACAAGACCAAGTTCTTCCAGCGTTAATTTTTGTGGAAATCTTATCGTTTGTGAAGTTGTTTACATTCATCACTATGGATTAACATCAAGTAACGGCCGAGTTGATTCTAAATTATTCAATGCTGTTCGCGATAGAAAATAACACGTCACCCCACCTGACGGCAACAACTTGAACACTTCTGAGTGGTTTGTTTTGATGATATAGCCAATGAGCAGGAACAAAAAACAAATGTGAACCAATGAAAACAAAAGTAAACATGCCGCTTTGACAGCTTCCAAGAGCTCCGATAGGTGGGGTACGCTTATTTTTTATCGCGAATACGCGAATATATCTATATATCTAGATTATAAAGAGGAAATATTTGATTGTGTTTGTTTGTATTGAATAGGCTCTGAAACTACTGGATCGATTTGGCTGAAAATTGGTGGGGAGGTAGCTTAGAACCAGGAGAGGGTTATAGGATACTTTTTATCCTGGTACCATTAGAAAATTCAAGATGGCGGATCTAATATATCGGACGAGTTTTGTATAATTATGGTCCGATTCTATTCAAAATTGGGTATCTGGGGGTTTTCGGGGTCGGAGATTATGATTCTTTCGTCAGAATTTGAAAATTCGGGCGGAATTTGGAAATTCAAGATGGCGGAACCAATATGGCGGACGAATTTTGTGATTATAATCCGATTCTTCTCGATCGGGGATTGATTCCATTGTCAAAATTAAGAAATTCAAGATGACGGATCCAAAATGGCGGATTTTGTAATTAGGATCCGATTTTATTCAAATTTGGTACCTGGTGGTTTTCGGGGTCGAAGATGATGATTCTTTCGTCAAAATTAGTAAATTCAAGATGGCGGACCCAATATTGCGGACGAGTATTGTAATTATGACCCCGATTCTCTTCAAAATTGTTTCCGGGGTCGGAGATTATGCTTCTTGTGTCAAAATTTGGAAAGGGCGGGATTTGGAAATTCAAGACGATGAAACCAATATACCGGACGAGTTTTTTAATTATATACCGATTCTATTCAAAATTTGCAAGTGGGCGTTTTCGGGATCAAAAATTATGATTCCTTGATCAAAATTAGGGAATTCAAGACGATAGATCCAATATTGCGAACGAGTTTTATAATTATGCTCCGATTCCATTCAAAATTTTCAACTATGGTTTTAGGAGTCGCATATTATGATTCTTTCTTAAAAATTGGGAAATTCAAGTGAACTAAAAAGAAGTTGAAATGGATAGTACTTTGAAAAACTAAAGAAACGCGCTTTTATAGATAGCGAAACTAAAAAGAAGTAGAAAGTAAAATAATAATAGTGTCTTGATAAATATTGAACTGAAAATATATATTATAGAAATATCGTATATAGCAAAACAACGTTTGCGAGTATATTATGAATATGTACCTACTGGAAATTTAAATACGAAACTTACCACATCATTTCCGATACTTTCTAAAGAACCATGTGTGTTTTGTGAGTGGACCTACGAAACAAATTTCAGTGATGAACAAGGATATGAAACATTATTTATATTACAAGCCACACCTTTTTCAATTCTTCTCTTAGTTTGAAAACTTCTTTTTTCTGCAAATCAAGCTCTACTTCTTTCTCAGTCAGTTTCAGGATGGTACTATCTAAATTACTTTGTAGTTCCTTGACAATCGTACTATCCTTACTGGCGACTTCAACTTGTTTCCTGAGCTTTGTTTCTTTATCAACTGTTTTCTTCAATTTTGACTCAAGCTCCGATATTTTTTCGTCTGTTGCTGCTTTCATACTGCTATTTGTTAGCTCTAAAATTCCGATTGTGTTTCTGAGTTCTTCTGACTCAGTCTGATGCTCCGCGTTTCTCGTTTTTAGAGCTATATCTTTTTCTTCTTCTTCTTTATCGAGCTTGTTAAACTTGTTATTCAATTCTTCTGAGCTCAAGGATAGGGCAGTTATACGTTCTATCAATTTTCCTTTTTCTTCTAAAATATCAGCAATATCTTTTTGAGAACATGTTATTTGTGTTTGCATTTCATTGTTAGATGCAGTTAGTGTTTTGATTTCTTCCTGGAGCTTGGAGACATTTTCAGTTTCTGATTTGTTTTGGTTATGTAAGGTTTCTAATTCAGTTGTCAACCTGGCTATTTCTTTATCCTTTTCAATTTCGGTGGTTTTTACGTCACCCACAGTACTTGACAATGCAGATATTTCTTTATCCTTATTTTCTATTTCTGTTAGCAAATCTGATATTCTGATCTCCATTTCGGCAAATTCTTTTTTGTGCTGTTCATTCACATCTATGAGATTTCTTTCACTTTCTTCCTTCGTTAGTTTGATTAGTTCTCTCAACTCCTCTAGTTCTTTGGTTTTATTTTGAATACTCGTTGAGGTTTCAGTAAGATTTAACTGTGTTTGAGTCAACTGATCAGTCAGATTCCTTTTAACTTGTTCCAGCTCTTCACATTTGATGCGAATTTCATCTCTTTCATTTTTCAAGCTTGTTTCAACTGCATTCATATTACCTTGATAGTTTTTCAGATCATTAGATGTTTGTTCTAAAATGTCTTTAATTGATGTAAGTTCCTCCTTCAGAGCATCAATTTCAGCAGTTTTTTCAGCAACAGTTTTATTAACTACATCGAGCTCATTCGTTTTTGCGAGGAGCTGTTCATCGTTAGTTTTTTTGGCACTTTGGAAATCTTCTTGTAATTGTAACAATTTCCTATTTTCACCTTCTAAATCTTCTTTTTTCTTCAATATCAATTGCATCTCTTCATTCAGTTTGAGAAGGTTTGTTTTTTCGGATTCCAGGTTTTCATTGTTAAGTTCTAATTCTTTACGGAGGTTTTCAATTTCCGACTGCCTAGAACTATTATCATTTTCGAGGCGATTTATATTCGTTGATAATTCATTCACTTCCTCAATCTTCATTTGTATACTTTGAGAAAGTTTTTCTATTTTTTCATCCCTAGCTGAAAGTTCTTTGGCATGGAGTTCAGCTGAAGTTTTATTTGCGTCTTCATAATTTTTGTTGATTACATCGAAATCTTTTTGCAATCCTATCACTTCTTTTAGTTTTTCATCTAACTCTGTCTGTAATTTTTGTAGATGTTCATCTTTCATTGAATCAGTTTTGGAAAATTCAGTTTTGGCTTCCTCCAGTTCAACTATTTTTGTTTTGAGCTGGTTTTTTATCTCGTCTCGCTCTTTTTTCAAGCTTGCTTCCACGTCGCTCAAGTTGTTTTGGTATTGAAGTAAATTATTGGAGACTGAATCGAAATCGATTTTCATTGTTTGTAACTCTGTTTGTAGTGACTTGATAAGATTATCTTTCTCTTTCAGGTTGTCTGACATCTGCTGAATCTCTGAATTTCTCGTATTCAAAATGTTTTCATATTCTTTTTTCCTTTCTTCATGTCCCGCTTTAAGATTTTTCAATTCTTCTAGTATCGTATCATGTTCACTTTGCAGTTTGCTATGAACACTTAGACTCTCAGCATATTCTTGGGTCTTCTTTTCTAATTCTAATGTTAGTTGATTTAGATGACTGTCTTTTTCTGCTTGTGTTTTATTGAACTTTTCATTTAATTCTGTGATATTAATATTGGAGGTATCTTTGAGAACGTTAATGTCATTATTCAGCTTATTTATTTCTTCCAGCTTAATTGTATTCAGTTTGCTAATTTCTTCAATTTTTTTATCTTGTTCAGAAGTTTTAGAACTCAAGTCTTTGATGATTTCATCTTTCTCTTTCGTGGTCTTTTCTAATTGTTGTTTTACAGATTCTAATTCCGTTTGTATGGATAGCACAGCAGATTCCTTGGTCTTCATGGAATCACCAATATTTTCCAGATCTAGAATTTTTGAGCTGAGCTCCATCTTCAAACGATCGATTTCCTTCTCCAGATTGGCTTCAGACTGAAGTTTTTCGGATGATACATTTGTTAAGGCTTGTATTTTTTCTTGTATTATACTATTTAGTTGTTCCATTTCCACTTTAATATTGGTTAGTTCTTTATTTTTAGAAGCTAATAAAGCTTCTGATTCAGCCTTGACTTTCTCATTTTCTTCTGACTGTTTGTTAAGTTGTGAGGTAATTTGAGAAAGTTCTTGTTTCAGAACCGAAATCATCTCGTTTTTCTCGTCTAGGTCCGCCTTGTATTGGTCCGATTCCTTCTGTAAAGATGATATCAGTACTGAAAAAATGCTAGATAAAATGTTAGTATGAAATGTTATTAATGATATTACCAGCGGTGGTTGCATTGCTTCCTTCCAGTACCACTTCTTTGTTTCTTGCATCTTGAACTTGTTTCTTCAATGAATCTATTTCCTCTTTTGCTTTAATCAAGTTTTCTTCTGCTTCGAAAAGTTTGTTTGTTTCCGCTTCATACTGCTCTAATTTATCACGTTCTTTGGCCAATTGCTCTTCTAATTCTTTTATTTTAGATACATGGTTTTCATTTGAAGTCTGTAATCGAAAAATATATTTTTCGTTATAAATTGGCAGTTTGAATAGTCATTAAACATTAAAACAGTCAAACATTGAGGCAAATAACACAAAACACGCTGCGCACTCGAAACTTACTAATTCGTTTAATACTTTTTTCTGAAATGAAAAATAATGCCAATCAAAAGATTGAATGAAATCCCAAATGGATATTTTTATTTCAGTGTTTTATCTTGTGTATGCCTACCTCTACATCATCTTTGGTAATTGTGGCTTCTTCCAAACGGAACTGTAAATCTTCATTTTTCTTTTTCTCCTCTTCAATCTGAGAAAGTAATTCTTCTCTGTCTTCTTTCAGCTTGTTCAGCAGTATCATGTGTTCTTTTAGCTTGATTTCGCATTCCGAACGATACTAAAATTTTTAATTGAACCCTTCTAGTGTTCAGATATAATTTTTTCGAAAGTTACTCTTACCTTTTCATATTCATGTCTTATCGCGGATAATTTCTGTACAGCATCATCAGCATGGCTGACAGCTCTGCTGATTTCTGCCCTATCAAGGTCACGTTCTTTGAGGAGCTGTTCAATATGCTGCTGTTTTTCTGTGAGTACATCCTATCGAAAATTGATCAGTTCAGAAGAAGACTAGGATGTAGGGGAATATTTTATGATCTTAAATTAGCATAACCACCAATGTGTGTATTTGAACCAGAAACTAATCTCTATAGAGAATGGCTTTGATTTGTGTCTATAGATATTCTCTCGTACAAATTCAGGGTATTTAGTTTGAAAGCCGGGTTACTTTGTATAAAAAAGTTTGATAATAAAATGGGTTGTAGTGACTTTAAAGTTTTAACAATGGTACGAAACCACTCAGAATTGTGTGTATATGTGGAAGGATCTTCTCAGAAACAGTATTATAAGTAGTATAAATTACTTTCAATTTCAACTAGAAATATAGGGATACCCTGTACACCACCCAACAGAAATCCATTTGCAGGGTGGGAGAATTATAGGTACAAAAAAATGTGTAGACAAATCGAGTGAATACAAATAACAATATAAGGTACGAAGAAATGGAACATTATAGCAGAAAAAAATAATTTCGAAAACTGATTTTTTTCAACAAAGCAATGCTGCAAGGGAAAATGTCACATCTCTCATTGATGTTATTGAAAAAACTACTCATAACTGAAAAAATAAATTTGGTCTTTCAGTGCGTGAAATTCAAGAAAATGACTAGAAGATTAGCCAACAAAATATCATCTAGCTTCAACGGTCCCTTTTGCTTCTTATAGAACTGAATTTAAAATAAAATGTCTATTTTCAGGTGGTTGATCGTGTCCTGCACACAAACAAAGGGATCAAATAAATAAAGTAAGACAAGAGAGGAAAACAAACCACAAGGTAAGTAAACTTTATTAAATGAAAATAACAATAATCATAACATAAATAATAACCTATCAGAAAAATATTAAAAGTAACAAAAGTTTAGTGATTACAACGATCAAAATATAGCTTCGTATTAGTGTTGAAGTTACAATAATAATTGAAAATTAAAAAACAGAATGCGAAATTGAGTTTAGACATTTTATAATACAAACAGCTTAACTGTGACTACTACAATTCTGTATTATGAAATGTATAGGATGGATATCAAGTTCTATATTTGTGATTTCCACAACTCACGCAATTCTGAACCAGAAATTAATTAAAACTTATATCACGACTATAATGGTGGTTTTGCTATTTATGATTCAATAAATTACTTTTATTAATGAATTACCTGTAAAGCTATCCTGGATGATACCGGAGCACTGGCAAGTTTGAGTGCAGATTTCTAATAAAAAGCAAAAGTCAAATCGATTATTAGTGATTAAAATACAAAACTGTGTTGAGGTATTTTTATTTACAAAAAAAAATCATGCTTCAAATACTGTGACGTACAAAACATAACACTAACCAACAAATAAACAAACAACATGCAAAAAATAAAAGGCTACCTCATGAAGGACTTGTATCCAGAGATTTACAATACAAATTACAAATAATGAAAACGGTAAAGACTTTCAAACTGACTAAACTACTATCAGACGGTTAAAACATGAAAAATAATGAATAACAAAACTACAAAATATTCAACATAATAATGTTCAACTAGAACAACAAAGTATAATTTTCTTCTTACTGGTACGAATCATGAATCAATAACAATCACACCATGCATTGACAAAAGATCTTACGTCATTCAAATCTTGGTTGGTTGGTTGGTTGGTGTTGTACCTTTCTGTTTATTTACAAAACTTATATTTCTAATGGCGAATCATGCCATAATGCAAATTCTTTATTGGTCTTAACTTCAATGAACAAATTGAAAATATGCAGTTTTTCCACCCTAAGAATTTACAACCCCTTTGAAATCAACTTCTGAATCTGATATATATAAACCCTTTCGCTCACCATGTCCTCAAATGGGGACAGCCTATTCTAATTTGATTTTTATACAGCTCATATATTATGAACTCTTTGCTGAATTACCAAATCAGATACGAATGTATAACATAATAACGAGAAGTTTTATTGTAGTGATCATTATTATTATTGGTTATATAATATTTTCTATACGTAACCTCAAAATTCTCTGTGCAAGAATAAACCACTCAATAGGTCGCGTGCACGATGACTGACCCAGGAGACAAAATATTGAATTACAACCTCACTTTTCTGTAAAACATTGAAAAACAACCTCACTTTTATAATTTTTCACAGAGGAATCAAAGTATTGAAAGAGTTTTTCACAATATTATGGCATAGGAATCGTGTTTTATACGCAATTCATCATTTCAAGCATGCCTTCTCAATGTGCTGTTGTACAATACACATAAATGCAGCGAGAGACGAAAGAATATGATTTTTCAGGTAAATAGTAATCTCACATAGTTTTCATCATGAAATTTTGTCATTTCTTATTAAAATTCTTTCTGCCACTTCTGCAATGGAAGCTAATACTGATAATAGATTGAAAATGACTACAACACACAAGATCATATTTCATCAGCATGTCAGACCAGTCCTTCCTTTTGATTTCATAGCATGAATCCAAACTTCTTGCATTCTTTTAGAAATTTCACGAGTATTTCTATTAGCTCCTATTACAGAAGTAATTCCGATGAGAAATTACCAATTTCACCAATTTCAAAATGAAAACTATATGTGAGTGACTATAGCAGGTACTTACTTACAAATCATAATGTAACAACCGAATTCCTTCGTCTCTCGCTGCATTTTTTTGCATTGTCTGACAGTTCTTGCACGCAACCCAGAGTATGCACTGAATATACGTCAGTGAGCCATCACTGGGCCAACAATGAGAAAGCAATACATGTAAGTACTGCTTCGCCAATATTGGTGTCGGCCAATAGGAAACCTTTGTGATTTACCATTGATAAATGCCAATATTAAGCCAATGGTAGTTCACTGGGGTGACATTGCCCTAAAGGTAATGTTTGCTGGGTAATTCATGAACGAGAGGGTTGATATGCAAAAATTCGAATCTTTCTCTCGACAATCAGCGGAAGATGAACCTGATTGAGTTCAAAACTTGCATCTTCATATCGCAAGTCAGTTTAAGGCCCTCCGCACACGGGTCGATCGGCGACATGGGCGACGCGATTGCAATGACGTCACAATTTCTGCATTTGTACGATTCAAGAGACGGGAGTGTGTGTCATCCGCATATGGGTCGACGTTTTGTGTAGTCGACTCGCGTCTGATCAACATTTTTTGCTACTTCAAAAAGAAATGTTTCGCTAAAAATGAGCAGTTCCAATGGCGAGGAGGACATATTCATGTTTTTGTGGCACCGGCAGATCAGGAGAAGAAGAAGACAACGAAGTTTATGGGTGAATCCGTACATTGCACGAAATTTTCACACTCGACTTTTTGTTACTGCAAGTGAAATGCAAGAGAGTGACACAAAATTCCTGGCATTTTATAGAATGTCGAAGGAATCATATATTGATTTAGTGGAAACTCTTGCTCCAGCCATAAATTATATGGATTCAAATATGAGGGAATGTGTCAGCGCAGAAGAACACATACTAATAACATTGATGTAAGATTCATATATTTCAAAAAATCAAACAGTTCCTAAAGCTGAGAGTATAAATTGGAAACATAAGATTATATGTTCAAGTTACTGAAAGTAAAGAACTCAAGGTAGGTAACACAAATAATCACAATGATTGAAAAATTATTGAACAACTTTCTCCATTGAGACGCACGATTCACTCGATCAAACTGCTTCCTTGCTAATCGCATGCGACTGAAAACGAGGAGATCTTAAATCGTACGTTTCTAGACGACCACTAAACGACCCGTGTGCGGGATCCAAATGCTTTGCTTAGGAAGAAGTCGAGTAGAGGGGAGACAGTCGTACGATTCGAATCGCGTCGCCCATGTCGCCGATCGACCCGTGTGCGGAGGGCCTAAGAGTTGCATTATCGCATGACCCATAAAACTCTCGAAACCAACACTCAACCTACCTTTGGAGTTAGTGACGTCACTCCAAGTCTTACCCTTCTGACGTTAGACGCAGCGCTGGTCATCGATATATTCGACGATAAGGATTCTTTGGAATTGGCCTTTCTCAGGCCGCTAGGCGGCAATTTAGGCTGGCTGCCTGGGTGAACCTGACAAGAGTTAGGCTTCACTTTCGATGGCGATTTGCTCACTTTCGATACGGGCGCAAACAGCCCAAAGTTCGGCATACATTCGAAATACCTTCAAAGTAAGTACACAATTTTCATTCCCATAAAGATTCACATGGAATGACAAGAAGCAAGTTGGCCAGTTTTTTTCTTCAATTCCATATTTTTTAGATTTTAGTTCAATTTAATGTCCCAAAATCATTTTTTTTCAGACGGTTAGAAATTTACCGCAATACGATTTGACGTCACGATTTCGTAAGTAGGGGCAGACAATAACATAGTTTCCATATGTTTGAATATTTGGTATTATATTTCGCAATGATGTATTTCTTCCCAGCACATGCTGCCTAGGGTCCCTTGATGCAAACTGACGTATTTGTCATTTAACAGGGTATGGACAGATCATAGCTCCTTTCTCTTTCAATCATCTAGTGACTTTGGTTTCGTGTATTGGCGTCCCTGACATGATATCGCTGTCACGTCACATGAATAGGCGTTAGAAGAGATCTTACAAAATTTTAATTTCATACTTTATCTTGATACGACAATGCTCAATTCTGTTTTGGAACGATAGTAAAATGTGCTGCGTTAGGCTGTAACAATCAGTTGTATGGCAAATTTGAATTTGTCAGCTTCCCATCAAATGCAAATGAACTTAGAACATGGAAAGTGAAGTGACCGAACGGGGAAAATTGGTGAATACATCAACAAAATATACGAGGTAAAACTGATACAAAATCACATATTATACTTTCTCATTGTGCCTAGTGCCAGTTTCAATTAAAATGGAGGATTAAAAGAAGAGGAATATGCCCTACCATTTAAAAAATTATACCGACATTCAGGAAATATTAAGTGCCTGAAAAATTGCGAACATGATTCCCAACATGAATATATACAGCACACATGACATATGGGCACATTAGTTTGAATACCTACATACAATTTTTCACCATTTCTCAACCATAAGGCTTAGTCTGAAATCAAAATTCATTTATTGATAGGTACTGCCTAAGAACAGTCCCATTTGGTAAAACGTATCAAACTTTCAGAAAAATTTGCTCACTGCCTAACAAAGATTATGCTGGAGTTCAAAAATCGAAAACGAGAAAATTATCATCATCATTAAGATATAATATGTAAAGTTGAATGAGAAATTACGTGTGGAAATTACGTATGATACGCCAATGTCTTCAATATAACCTAAAAAACAACAAATGTCAGAAATCTAGTGTTGATCCCCAGAAATGAATTGAGATGGAACTATATAACTGTGTCACAAACACTTTAGAGTGAGAGGAGACGAGGATCTGTCCGTACCCTGTAAAGATGACAAATACGTCAATTCACATCCAGGGCCCCTAATGCTGCGAAGTATCCAGCCAACATCTACATCATATTTTGTTGAAAAGTATAAGAAATATTTTGACATGCTAGTTGCTCGAAAAAGTCGAAAATGAATAACTATAATATCATGGCTTCCTCCTATTGAATGGAATATTCTAGATGTTGTTGTATCTGACCAATATGGAAACACACGGCACATTATTCACACAACAAACGTGTAAGAAATGTTGCAAAAGTTAACTTAGGTCCCTGATTCCTTTACAACATAGTGGAGTAATGGAATGCCAATAATTCATTATCAGTCCAGTAGCCCATCACTAATTTCTCGAGTCCCCACAAGCAATTCAAGTATTTCAAGTGCCTACCTTTTGCCATTGACAGACCCGTCATTTTTACCCCTTGGTTCGTCTAATTCCACCCCCACCCATTCTCCAGGAGCGAATTCTGTGGTACCCATGAACCTCACAGTGCCGACTTTAGATCCTTGACTACTTTTTATGATAACACGATCACCCAGTCTATAATCTATCACATGCGAAGCTGTTGAAGCTAAGCTTATCGTGGAACCGGCTAGAAATTAAAAAAAAAATTATGTGCTGGGTCGTTAGAAGATAGGTACTTCGTAATTTGCAATCAGATAGTTTACGAGTATATTATTACTTTGCCAATAAGTCTTCAAGATGATTCATACAGGGTGTTCGTGGGAAAGGTCTGTACAGGATATTACCAGATATTCCTCTGACCAGAACACATAGAATAGAGCAAATTCACCCAAGTATCAAATTGTTTATATATCGAAGAATGGAACCTTTGGCACGATAATACTGTTGTACCACTAACCAAACCGATTTTTTAAACGCCCCGACACGTGCTTCGCTAACTATGTTAGCATCTTCAGGAGAAGATGAAAACTGTCTCTAACTTCACTTCTGGGAATAAAATGCAACTGAATTCGATCTAGAAGTTGAGGTATCTTTCAATTATACACTGATTGAAATCATCATTTTCTGTGAAATGCAGAAAACTTTCAAGAATAACATGTGAAACCAAGCAATAATGACTACTAAACTTTCTATAAAATGCATGGAAACTGGAATATAAACAGACATTCAATGTACTTTTGGTTACTCGAATATCCGGAAGAGGGCGTATCGCTTATTTTGAATCGCCTATATAATCGCTTTAATGTTGACTGCTGCTCTAATTTACTAAAATTCAAAATTTGTCGAAACCATGAGAGTATTGTAGTAAATAAGTTACACAATTCAATTTGCAAATTCAAACCGCTTTCTTTCCATTGGCGTAGAAGTTTTAGATATTTATTTACGGAAAAAATCAAGTGCTACGCCCATCCAATGATATTCATATTGATTATGGTATGGGAATTATTGCCCAAAGTTAAGAAGTAAAAACGATCAGAAAATTACAGAGTCATCTAGCGCCCAAATCGAGCAACTTTGTACTGTGTTAAGTTTGATTTTATCAAATTATTTTGGTTCGAGGAATATAAAGTAGTTTTTTGTAAAGACCTTTCAGGATTCAGGGACACCCTGTATAATGAGCTTGGAAGTGAAAAATATGAATGGAGTAAAGTTGAAGTAAACTCAAATTCTGATTGCTAATTTTCCGTTGTTGGCGAACATTTACCCATCGACAATGGTGACCTGAGACTTTTGGTGCTCCCCGTGGGAGATATGGGACTCCTTCTGACTCCGTTTCCAACGGGCGAGGGTGTACTGGCATAAGTGTCACCCGAACCCATCCCTTCCATGGGCACCCTGGTCAGTCTCGTCAATCGGGAGAACACCCCCTTTTTGGGTTCGCACTGAAAATATCGGATGCCACCCACCGACCCATCATTTTTACCTAAAAAATTAAGATTACGTCATCACAAATAGCTTATCAATAACGCAAACAGAGCTCTTCATTAAAAAATACTATTGACATCACTCTCTTTATGAAGCACCGGCATAAAAAGCTCTTCATTAAAAAATACTATTGACATCACTCTCTTTATGAAGCACCGGCATAAAAATAGCCTAATTGATACAAACGTCTCTTGCCAGTCATTCAATTAGTAGCATGCTGCCGTGCTTGGGAAAATCTTGAGGTCATCAGAAGGTTATAAGGTATTATGAAGAAGGAAAATATCGTTTCTGCATGAAAAAGGAAACTACTTTTGACCTCTCGGCCTAAATGAACCTTTTTCCTGAAAAGTATATCCTTTCGAGAAATGACGAGTGACACAAAAAATATAGCTTCACAGGGAGTTGAACACGAGCCATCACCGTGGAAGTCAGATGGACAGCCAATTAAGCTATCAAGCTACTAGAAAGTTTTATCTATGAAGGAAGAAGAAATATCGTGTGTTGGCATGTTTATCATAATTTTTTGAAAAATATATTTTTCAAGAAAAAAGTTCATCTAGGCCTAACCAATGGTTAAAAGTAAGCTCCTTTTCCATGCAGAAAACATATTTTTCTTCCTATTAATACTTTATAACCTTCTGATAACCTTGAGATTTACCGCAGCACAGCAGCAAGCTACTATTTGAACGACTGGCGAGAGACATTTATTAATTGATCGCCCTGTAACTCTTTTATTTATTGTCAAATTTTGGTGAAATGCCAACCAAATCGAAGATTTATGTTTCGAAGTGTTAACCTGAATTTTAGTCCTCGAAAAGAGCTGATGGCTTGATCATTATACAGGAGAAACAAAATAAGTTACTATTTCACGCTCAACTTCTTAACGTATTGTGGCAAAAGTGAGTGATTATTTATTTATTTACAAGAAAAGGAATACAAACAGAAAGAAACTTTCAAATACAGTATCCAGAAATTGAATTATGATATATCAATTGAGTTAGATAAACTACAATATTTGATGAAATTATTACCATATTAATCTGAAATTGAACGAGAGAGTGAGTAGTAAAAATAGGTCAAAGAATAGATAGAGTTTGGTAGATATTGGTATACAATACACGAAATGGTGAGTATATAGATAGACACGTGATTTTGATAGTGACTCCATTGAATAGAGAATATTGAAAAAAAAAGTGAAGACAAGAAAAGAAGAACAGATAATAATAGAAAAGAGGAGGGTGCAGTTAGACATTACAACTAATGACATAATTTTCGTCTTTCCGTGACGATGGATAAAATAAGTTTTGAGTTTGTTTTTCAGAGCAGCGACTGAGCGAATGTTGAAAATATCGAAATCGGAACAGTGCTTATAATATGTCTCTAACATACGATTTACTGGAAGATTTTTTGCTACATTTGTACGGGAAGAAGATAGTTCGAAAACGTTGTTCTGTCTGAGTTAAACTTAGCTTCATGATGTTTTGGAATGAAGTGTGATCCCTTCTTAAGGCAATAGTCGCAAAAACATTTAAGCATTCGTTTCATTTATTCCCCTACGTTTTTTCAGCAGTCATCAGCAAAGAGAAACCTTAATTACAAAAAAAAAACGAAAAGTAGACCTCCTAGATGTAGTCAATAACGAGTATATCTTCCTCGAGCTCCGTGGCATCCAGTTGATCAAATTTCTCAAGCAGAATCTTCAGAAATTGCCTCAAATCATACTGCTATAGGTTATGAATTATAGTTGACCATTCCACTCTTGTTGTCGAGAACAAATCAGAATCGACCATTTTCATGGATTCTCCTGTATTCCAGCGATATGTTTTGTTTACTAAAATTTATCAGATCTGCTCTACCAATACAGAAGCCGAATAGACACACACGTGACCATCCAACCTCGTTTTTAAAATTTTTTACATTCATAACGTCAATTATGTTGGAAGCCAGAATGATGGATGCAGTGTGCGCAACTGTCACGAGGCGCTTGTTTATTGTCTCAATCATGAAATATACATACGAATACAACTCGTGATGCTATTTTTCTTGGAAACATTTGTCGATTGACATACTCCAACTTGTTGCTTTGATTTCGCTCATGACATTGATTCAAAACTTCTCGCCTACGGCTGTCGTAACAATCGCCGAATATTTCCGGCAAAATAGTATCATACTTGTGGTATCACATATGCTAAACATTGAAAAAATTCCATACTTTCCTAAAATACTTGTGTCTTCTTTAAAAAAAATATTGACGTGAATCAAGAACCATTGTGATAAGAATAAAGCTAAGGGTAACTCTTATTTTTCCCTGTATATAATGCTCATGCTATAGCTTTTTTTGAGAATTCAGGCACACACTCCCAAACATAAATCTACGATTCGGTCGAAATTTCACCACAATCGCTCACGAATTGGAAAATTTAAAGGACGATAAATTTTTTGCTGGCCGTTTTTTTGCCTGCGAGTGTAAATCGGTATTCTTTGATCACACCTGTTGATACTTACCTATAGGCTCATCTAAGGCGATTCCTGCCCAATCACCGGGAGCGAATTGAGTTTCACCAATGAAGGCGATGTGACCAGGTTTGTTACCAGAAACCCATACTCTTTCGCCGATAATGAAGCTGTCTGTATCCTCTGTCAAGATGGCGCTGGAATCTGATCAAACCAATGACAATAATTGAATGAAAAAGTAAGGTTATGTTACCAAGATCACGATAGGACGCGTGCACAATTGACAGATGATCGATCCAGGAGGTAAAACAAACTGAGAACCTCACTTTTCTTCGTATGTTTACATCGGATTGAAGTAGTTTTTCACGATTATTTTGACATATGAATTATGTTTCTTGGGATATTTATCAAATCAAGCATGCCATCACAATGTCCTGTTGTACAATGCACACAAAATGCAACGAGAGACAGAGGAATACGGTTTTCAGGTACCTATATAGGTAAATAATGTAGTCACTCACTTCTCACCCCAGACAGCACTGGATATTCCTAGATATTCTCTGAATATGCTGAAAAAGAGTATATTCCGAATATCCACCGAATATATACATGACTCTGGAACATCCAAGGGTATTTTTAAATTTTAGACTATGTTTATTGGATTATTCCAGGAACATTCAACAATGGTGCTGTCCGGGACAGTTTTCATTTTGAAATGTTGTCATTTCTCTTCAGGACTTGTGGAGTTTCTAAAATAAGGCAGGAAGCTTGGATTCCTGCAGTGAAACTGCTCTGATATGCTGACCAAATATGGCTTCTACTGCAAAAGTGGCAGAAGGCATTCTCAAGAGAAATGACAAAAATTTTAAATAAAAACTCTGACTAGAGTGACTAAATTTACCTGAAAAATCGTATTAATTTTGTGCATTTTTCAACAGCACAATGTGATGGCATGCTTGAATATAGCCAAAAAATTACGATTCGTATGCCAAAATAACCGTGAAAAACTATTTCAATCTTCTGTAAAGAAATAAGAAAAGTGAGGTTATTTAACCTCCAGGGTCGGTCTTCTGACACATGTGCAGGCGACCTATATAGGTCGCGTGCACGAAGACCGACCCTGGAGGCAAAATATTGAAACACAACCTCATTCTTCTGTGAATTATTGAAACACAACCTCACTTTTTTATTTGGTTACAGAGGAATCAAAAGGTTGAAATAGTTTTTCACAATATTTTGGCATACGAATCGTGTTTCTTGCGTTATTCATTAATTCAAGCATGCCTTCGCATTGTGCTGTTGTACAATGCACAAAAAATGCAGCAAGATACTAGGGAATATGATTTTTCAGGTAAATAGTAATCTCACATAGTTAGCATTATGAAATGTTGTCATTCCTTATTAAAATTCCTTCTGCCTTCTGCCACTTCTGCAATACAAGCTAATGCTGCTAATAGATTGAAAATGTCTACAACACACACGATCGTCAGCATGTCAGACCAGTCCTACCGATTGATTGCATGAATCCAATCTTCTTGCATTATTCTAGAAATTGCAGGTATATTTCTATTAGCTGATCCTATTGCAGAAGGAATTCCGATGAGAAATCAGAGAAATAACCAAATTTCAAAAATGAAAACTATGTGAGTGACTATAGTAGGTACTTACTTTTGAATCATAATGTACCATCCGGATTTCTTCATCTTCCGCTGCAGTTTTTGTGCATTTTACAACAGCACAATGTGATGGCATTAGCGAATTGATGAAAAGCGGAAAAATACGATTCATATGCCAAAATAATCGTGGAAAACTATTTCGATCACTTGTAAACAAATATGTTTTGCCTCCAGGGTCAGTCATCTGACAGTTCTTGCACGCGACCTATATCTAATAACAATATGGTTATGGTCAGCTTTAGTGGAATAACAACACAAAATTCCTAGTAGAATAATTATCATGTTAATATTGACAAGTTTTCAATATTTAGAGAAGAAAGAAACAATAATAAATGGTTTGAATGTTGTCTTAATGTGAACAAGTACATGATATGGCATTCTCAAACACGTACTCAATTCAAAACTCAACTGTTCAACAAATATTGAGCATGAAATTGTTCTAATTTGAAACGACAAAACTCTCAAATTACACAGGTGACTTAATTATCTTTTCATTGAATATCTAAAAGGTATGATCCACAGGTTGTTATAAGCAGACAAGGTTCCAAATAAACAATTTTTTGGGAAAAATAATTAGATACTGAAAAATATCTGAAAATCTTGAAGTTTCGAATTGGTGTTACATTTCATTTGTTGAGCAGTTGATTTTGCCTACCTGAATGACGGCTGAGACCTGCTTCTTTCAGTCGATGCGGATGTAACTCCCAAAGGGCATCTATGGACGAAGCAGTGCTACCAACTATACAAGCAGAACAAGACCAGCAACATTGATTACATGCATGGATTGTGCAAAAACAAATAAACAAACAAACAAAATAGGTTGATCAATTCATTCAAAACCTCAAACATTGATATAAGTACAACGTGTCCAAGATAAGAATGTCTATTACGGGGTTGAAGATGGTTGAATCGGAGAAAAGTTGATTTTCAAGCCTTAAAATATACCGTTCAGAACGTTTCCAAATTCCGAGTAGTTCCAGAGATATACAAAAAACGGGAAAAAATTATTTCGTTTCTATTTTGTCCTACGAGCGTGCGGGAAAGTAACTTTTTCTACTACTGCTATGAAAAGTAGCGCATTTCTCATAGCTTACTTAGTTTCAAAACCATGTATTGCTCATACTGTGAGAAATATTTTTTCTCACGGCACTTTGCCAACACCACATACATTTCCATGGAGAATCAACAAAAATCGACCAAAACTTAATTGGCTGGTGTTCAGCTTTGAATAGTTGTCATAACTGTCAGAAGAAGTTTTTTAAATTCTTCAGGATAGTTCTCATTAGTGCTTTTGACAGAAATCGCAGTTTCCATCAAATATCATTCCAGAACAATTCATAATAAATAATATGATGTATATACCGAGATGTGACGATTTTGATAAATACACCGCCAGAGACAGAGATAATGGAAAAAGCTGCGAAAATTGGATTTGTTTCCGGAAATTTCAAGAAAAAAGTATGAATTGGCATACCTATACGAAAAATTTATGGAATCTAAAAAAATACAGAAATAAAATCTGTTTTGGAAAGTGTATTTTTTTGAAATACTTTGAGGAACTAGGAAAGGCATCTACTCTTTGGTCACACATTATAAAATCAATACCAATAAGTTGAACTCTCCTCACTTGTTGCACAATATACTATTCCGCACTTGTTAGGTAAATATTCATTTTCTGACGTTATTCAAAGACATAGGAAAACAAAAGACACTTTCTCACTGCCACTTTTTGAGGAAGACATCGTTGAGAGATTTTCTTTATGACGTTTCGTTTCGGAGAATCCATCAACTTTTTTTTCAAATGACGAGAATAAAATAAAAACGAAATCAGAGATATTCGGTTTTTCAGGCATATCACCGAAACACTAGGAATTTCAGAACTTTCTACACGGCTACCGAATGTTACGCTTGAAAATTGAAAATTCGCAACTTTTCTCTGATTTAACCATTTTCGTATATCTTATGGTTTCCGAGATCTCCATGAAAATCATCCTTATCTTGTACACTAACTATCACACTAACAAAAAGAGCGTTGTAAAGACACATTCGAGTTATTTAAAAGAACATAGGTGTATTGAAAGAAAAAATCCCTTGTACCAGACAAAAGACATATATGCACAAAAAGCTGAGTAACAAGCAAAAAATGAGTGAACATACACTAAAAATATTGCATTCACAACACTTACTAGAAGAATATCTTTTTCGGTTGATATTTTCATCGTTCGTTGTGCTAGAATAGCGACCAAATACGTCTTCTTCAGTATCCTCTTCCAAAACGTCTAAGCCCATGCAACAAATAAACAATAGAACCATGCAAGAACATATAAAAAAACAAAAAGCAACAAGAATTTAGTAAAAACAGGAAGATAAAAAATCAACGGACGAGTACAGATATTAGTTAAAATAATAGCAACATTGATAGTAATTCACGTAACAAGTCCAGAAAATACTGTTTTTTTTTTTTTGGAAGAGTAGAGTAGCCCACTCATTCTATCACTTTCGGAATTGCACAACAAAACGCACCTAATGTCAACTAATTTCATGTCAAATAGCTGTCAGCCGATATTTCGCTGCTATGGTAATTATCATCTGCATTTATCAAAACTATATCTACCAAAATTTTCATAGTTACAGCAGTGGCGGCTCCTCAGAGGAGGCAACGGAGGCTGAGCCTCCTCAGAGATTTTCCTTAAACTAATATTATCTATACTTTCTCATTAAAAGGACACCAAAATACATGGATTTTGATTTTATTTCCTGTTTTAAGTTAAATATTTTTGAATTGGCAACAGTACTTGCCCACGCATCACACGTTGAAGTCTGCAAATCACGTGTAAAATATTCAACTTGGCAACATCTATAGGAGGCTAGACTCCTTCACATCGCGCAACCTACGCGCGCAATGCGAATGCCCGAATACGCCCGAATAGCACGTGTTTGTCTTGTCGCTTCGCGAATTGCGGACAAACGCGAGTGCATTGTTTATGTTTATGTTAGGTTGATGGTTAGGGGCTCTATAAATTTCTGAAAAATGAGTGGAATACTTTTTGGTGAACCCATTCAGTGCTTTGTCTTGTGAAGATAAATTGATTGTGAAAAACAAACGTCCGACATCGGAATTAAAAAATCTGATTGTAACAGGTAACAAACAAAATCGTTTCTTCAATTCTGATAATTATAAAAAATATATCTGGTTGACGGGATCTGAGGTTTTGTTGGTACTGCGTATTATTTTCAACCGATAAGTCATCATGTTGGGGGCGATTAGGATATAATGATTTGAAAAATTTGCCTAGCGGATTGGATAGACACTGCAAATCACAGGAACATATCTCTTCAAGTATTAAGTTCAGGTTAACTGGTAAACAGAATGTCATTAAAGCTATCGATTTGGGTGAGTTGAGAGTTGTTTTCCACAATAAATCTCATATCAGATATCATTCAGCCTCCTCTGTCATGAAAAGTCACGAGCCGCCACTGAGTTACAGTGACAACAACGATGTGATACATCCCGGACTAGGCCGGAAAAATGCTGCTTTCTCAAAGGAAAATCGTCCGGGAAGTAAGCACTTCGGACGGTTGCCGAAAAAAGTATTTTTCCATATTTGATTGATGAAATTTCAATTTGATAAGCTTATAGAGCAATTAATGAACAAGTATTAGTGCAAAGGCTGATTTTTTAATCCTTCCAGTTTTTACAGAAACAAATAAGATGTGTGAGATAAAAGCTAACAGTAAATGCCATGTTGTAAACTCGAAACTAATACAATCTGACGAATTGATAATAATGAATTTTATACAAACACAATTAATCATTTTATAATAAGAGCAATTATAGGCAAGCAAGAAAAACACACGATTCAATTATTAACAAGTAGGTAACAACGAACAAAATATTTGCAATATCAATTATGCTGAACATTTACAAAGGCGGCTTCAATTGAATGAACAGACAAGCGTTTTCCAATTAAAAAAACTACATAATTCTTTACATACCTGTCAAGCGGCGTCTTCCGTAATCCTCAATTATCCTTGTAACTGAATCGTCTGAATTATCTACAATTTCATTAATATACGAGTACATGTACAACATAAGAAAATTTGCGAAGGTGTTTGCATTTTTTTTGGTGGATTCGAGTAGAATTTCTTGGTCAAAAAGTTGGTGACTATACTCAAAATTTCAGTGGGCCAGAGCCATGGGAGTATCAAAAAATTATATTTATTCATGCTTTGACATTGGAAGTGCCCTTCCTTATCTGGAAGTATTTCTCTACGTTATTATGTGTGTATATAGTATTTGTTTTCATTATAGATTTTCGTGGCCGACTATGATTATTTTTTTTTTTTTAATTTTTCAAAGATTCTTAGTAACACATGTCAAAAACGAAATCAAAGAAGGTGCTGGATTTTTTACCAATACCTGATTTCATTTTCTTGACTGAAAAATGATCTGCTTGTCTAGCTGTATTAGTTGTGGTGACCACTATGAATTTGGAAATCCAAATTTGAATGCTTTTGACAATATTTAACTGAATGAATGAATGATAATAATTTGAATTTATATAGTGAATCTATATATAATAACTCTCTTCTTCTGTGAAGGTTCTTAGTAGGTTCCAAATAATTCAGTTTGTATATACATTTGATAATTTTATTTTGAAGAGTATTGAGAGGCTTCATAGTTGAAAGTTTTGTTGATCCCCATACAGAAAGAAAATATTCAAGTTTAGAATTTTAGAACAATTTTAGAATAGATCAAGAAGAAGTATATAGATTTGAGGCATTTTATAGGAACTGGATTCCGTACCCGGAAAAGTATACCTATTATTAGAGATATGTTTTTCTAAGTATTTCAATATGTTTTGACCATGACAAATTTTGATCTATGTACAGCCCAAGAAACTTGATAATATTTGAATATTTGATGGCTTCATTATTACCTGCGACTGGAAATTTGAACTAATTATATCTCGATTTTTCTTGAGATGAACATAAATGCTGATTCACTATAATTTATACTCAATTTATAACACGATAACCATGATAATAATATTTTCAAATCACTTGAAATTTCATCCCTAATCTGTTATGCAGAACCTGCTGAATAGATTAAGGTTGTCATCGGTAAAACATATAAATTTTACCTTTTAACTTCAAATTTGCAATAATGTTGATATAAATAAAAAATAAAATAGGACCCAAGACTGATCCTTGCGGTACACCGCCTACTATTTCATCGCTCTTACTGAATGATTCTCTTAAATAACAATATATAAATGTGTCAAATTGAAAATAAAAATCCGTTCTGCTTTAGTTGATTTCTAAGAAATGGATAGTATGGATGATAATTAATTTAACCACTACTTCACGAGAGGATTGAATTCAATGGACGCACTGTAGACAAAGCACATGTGTGATTAATTTTTGGATTCAGCTTTTCACGGTGACTCCAAAAATTGAGTAATATATAGGGTGTTCCATTTGAAATAATTGTCGTGGCTGTCATAGCTCAATCGTGGATCATCCTGTATATTTAATTTTCCCTTATGAATGTGGAAAATTGAAAATAACAATCGACATGTTTCAGGATATTCCTCATAAATGGATAATTTGGCTAAAAATGAATTTATTCAGTACTTTAGGAAAGCACTGAAATGTATTGCCATCAAACACAACCGCCATGGGTGATAACAATAATGAATATTATGGTGTTCAGATTACAATCAAAAGAATAGTTCTACATCTATTTGATCACCTCATTCCAAAAAAGGTGGTATTTAAAAAACTATTATTGAACAGTCTATGAAAGTTTAATTTTGATCACGTTCGTTAACACGTTCACTGCATAACAAACCACGCGCATAAAATTCTTGATATTACTATTCCACACCTACGCACATCTGTGTTCTTGTTGTTCTTAGTCGAAATGTAGGTTAAGCCTTCATATATGAATCAAAGGATTGACAGATATAAGCACCTAGGTCAGTTGAAAAACATAATAAAAGTAGATAGATGTATAGAAAGTCAAATAAGGAGACCTATTTGAGAGTCAATTGTTCTTTATTATTTTTTGGTTGTTAAGACGAAAAGATGTTTGGTTCCCAAAATGGTAGTTAAAAAAAAAAACGAATAAATATAGGTTGGTACTAGACTACTAATAGATTGGTACACTCACAATAATTTATGAATTACAATAATTATGATTTGAATTTATTTAATGACGATACAACATTTTTATATTTATCTGGTCCTGTGAAATCTCAACACTCAGCTTCCCCACAAAATCAATGTCGGTGTGAATTACACCACAATCACCCCATTTTTTTTTTTCAATTTTTTTTCATGTTCTTGTTCCCACGAAGAGGGATATCCTGTAATGTTCAGAGAACATCGTGAGAACCAAGGGAAATAAGGTATAGGAATGGGCGTGTACACCTTAGTAGAACTTTTAACTCAAACCATGTTTATAATGATCCTTTTATACATAAATATAATGATTGACGACATAATTCTATCGGAAAATTAACTGGAATGTTTTATTTTTGGACATACATAATAGTACCTTCTGAAAACGGACCCTTTTATGACGTAGAAACCTCATCTCGCCATCGTTAAAAGAAAATAACAAACGCCCGACGGGGACTGAGGCAACTGATATATTAATTCTTTCAACTGTGATCTCGCGCTAATTCACTCTGTCAGAAATCATGTATCATTCATCTCTGTCTGGAATAGTCTTGTTTCAGTATTAGGGTTTTGACGTCACATCATCGCCTCGTTTTCAGAGGTCCGAAAAATCGGGGATTTCAATAATTTTTTATAAAACGTAGGGAGCTCACAGCAAGAAACGGTTTGCGGTGGTGACCTAGTTTGGGTAAGTTCTATCGAATTATGGAATAAATTTTTTTTGTGATATAAGCCCATTGGTGTTCTTATATTTCTGGAGGTTATATGCTCCGGGGAACACCACCCTTGGCAATGTGTTCCAGAGCCTCGCTGTTCGTTGAATGAACGAGTCTTTGGAAAGAGATGTTCTGCAGGTCTCCAAAGTGACCACGAATGGGTGCGAAGCCTCAACTCGACGGGTTAATCTCGCGGGGACTGCCAAGGGAGGAACAATTGTTGATATTTCAGAAGAGTATTGTCCATGAAAATATCTATAAAATGGGGCCAGATTGCCAACTTTTCTACGGTGTTCCAGAGAAGTGAGTGAGTTTGTGAGCGAGGCATCACCCACGAGAAGAATTGCCCTTTTTTGGACAGAATCCAACAGTTTCAGGGTATGTTTGGGTGCTGCACTCCAAATATGGGAACAATATTCCAGGACAGGTCGGATCTGTGCCTTAAAGATCATAAGCAGCTGACTGGAAGTGAAATAGCTCCTGGCCGGAAACAGAAAACCAAGTTTTTGGGATGCACTTTTAGCAATTAATCTCACGTGATTTTCCCAAGAAAGGTTATTGCTGATAGTAATACCAAGCATCGAAATGGATGTCTTCAAAGGTATGGCTGACAAGCTTATGTTGGGCACAGTGAGATCGGCTTTTATAGAAAAAAGGCATGCTCGTGTTTTTTTTGCATTCAAATCTACCAAATTATTGGATCCTCATTCGAGAATTGTTGCCAAGTCCATATTTATGTTGTCAACATTTCTCCCTAGTTCGTTTCTGATTTGCCTGGCTGGTATTGGAGCCCTGGAAGAGAAGGCGGTATGGAGGGTACTATCATCCGCGAAGCTGTGTACTGGACATGAAGTTGCTTCCAACAAATCGTTGATATGGAGTAGAAATAGTGTTGGTGCTAGAATTGATCCTTGCAGACAGGACGATAATGATTCGAAGAAGTGATTCCTAGTGATGTCATAAATCATTATTTGTCCCGATTAGTTATGCCACTGCTTTCTTCATTTAGTTGCCATAAACATTAAACGAAATACACAATTGAACGGAAAGAATTAGAGAACAATACATCGATCATGTTCTAGAAGTAACAAATTATGTTTGTCAATCTCACAAGGTCAGACATCAGATATCACACCTTCACATTATAAAGAAAATAAGAGAAACAATAACAAATGTAACAATAGGCAATCATTTGAGATAATTGGGAAGAACGTATTTAGAATTTGATTGATATTCTCCCGCTGTTACTTAGAAATTGATGAATATCTGAGATTGCGCAATCTGTCCTTCAGGCTATAAAATTATATTACACGAAATACAGAAGCACCTATGAGAACAATCATTTACATAAGAAGCATTGTGACTCCTAAATTGGTATAACCTTGAGCCTGATTTTTTATTATATTTGTGGGAAAATTACTATAAAACACAAATAACACAATAACAGTATGGTACTAGGTTGATAGTCAGTACTTATATATAGTTGCCGAACATCCTGTTAAAAAACAGTTAGTTTATCGTCTTATGCCGATTTTTAAAGTAAACATGTTTTGCTTACTTCTCTGTGTTTGTAGCCAGCATCTAACAAATAAAGGTGTATGCGAATCTTACATCATCTCTTATTTTCAGTACCTGCTTCACATGATTAGCATAAAAGAGTAATCTCTTTGATTTATTGCAACATTAATAATATCGTTCGATCTTGAACAAAACTCTACAAACAACATTCTTTGTGATTTTATGATTTCTGAATTGAAGGATTCAAGAATATCTTATTTTGAATGATTCTACTTCCCCTCTAAATTATGTTCTATACCTATTCCAAATATTGTGGAGTACGTTCAGATAATCCTTGATTTACACCAATGTGAAAATAATGTGAATCAAGATATATCAAGAATTTTTGAAAATTAGAATTTGCCTAGAGAAAATTATGTTTATTTATTACAATGCAACAGGTATGCAACAGGTAGGTATTCATAAAATATTCATTTGAGATGGTGACATATAATTATTGTCATCAGCATAAAAACATGGCAAAATGTATTACAACAATACAAATAAAGAAACAGATTACTATACGACATAAAGGAAACGTTATGTGAAACACTGAATAGTTATTCGATGAATAAAAGCAGCAGAACAAGGAAATAAACAGATGTATTTTTTTTTCATGCTGGTGAAATTTTTTTGTAAAATTATGTCATGATCTTGAAAAATTGATAAAATATTGAAAGGGTATGTCTGTATTCTCGAGAATCCTAATGATAACAATGAAACTATTTTTACCTACAAATTTTTCGTAAAATTCGTATATTCTTATTTATCGGGCATATAGGTAGTTCATTCTAGGCTGAACTATTCTTGAGAATAATATATAAAATCATGAATCCTAACAAAAAATGCCTCAATGGAAAAGCCTCTTGAACCTTTCAACTAGATTTTTTGAAATCGGGCTTATCCAGTTACCAATAAAAATTTAGGAGGTAATACTACAGAGCAAGTTTGGATTCCAGAATTTGAATGAAGATGAAGAACACCATCGCTTCCAAAATGTAGCAAAAAAATGCAAAACGCCCCAGCGAAAATTTTGGAAATAAACTGCTCAACACATGAAATGTAAGATCGCATTTTTTCTATCAAAGAATCATCATAACTTTCGATTTCCCCATCCGATTTTCAATGATTTTTCAGTTTCTGAAAGCTCGTTTCATTGACTATCGAACCTATGTATATGACTATTCCATCTTTTCTGGATGACATTCTACAGGATGATAATCAAAGCTGTGCATTTTTCCAAAAATTTCAAACGCCTCCCGTTTGAAAGACATTTTTTTTTGTTGGTCAAAAACATATTGCTTCATATGTTTTCTCAATACTGTGAAAACATTTTTGAAATTGTCACACGCGTTACTGAAATATGATTCTTTTATTGAGATAATTAATAATTTGATGCTCTAATTTCTATTGGCTTTGTGCTTCTGTGAATCTGGTTCGAATATGGTGGTCAAAAATCTTGAAATAACCCATGATCAACCTATTATTATATACAGGGTAGTCCTCAAACATCAATTATGACATCAAGTAATGAAAAAAAATTGTTTTGACGAGCAACAAAATTTCGAAGCAGGAAACCGATTGAGAAGTTTCTGTTTTATGGCGATCAACCTCTTCTACGGTTGTCATCACCATGTCAAGTTGCTACAGAATCTATTGCAAGATCAAACCACTGGAATTGTTAGAAAAACCGGAATATACAGGATGTCGTCTAAATAAAAATAGTTGCTGCCGAAACATACCATGCAACTGACAGAATTCATCACAATTGCAGTAGATTAACGAGTATCAGGATGTGAATTCATTTGCGGTGAACGTCTTCACAAATCACTTATATTGAATATTTGTCGAAATTCAAAAGAATGGCAGACGTGAATCACATGGATATGTAATATCCTGACATGAATTTTTCATATTGAATTCCATCACAGTCACAATGTTCTAGTTCCATGACGTTTCATCAATAATACCAGTTCAAATCACATCACTCTCACGTTCAATTGAATTTAACATTGAAGTGAACATGGAAAGTATGAAAATTCAATGACACATGAGTTCTTAACAAGCAGTTGGACCACCCTGTATATAAGAATAGGTTCAAGATTTTTGACCACCGTTCGATCCAGATTGACAGGAACACATAGCCAATGAAAATTAGAGCATCAAATTATGCATTAAAAAAAATAGAAAGCATTTTCTGTCAAACGGGAGGGGTTTGAAATTTTTGGAAAAATGCACAGTTTTGATTATCATCCTGTAGAATCTCATCCGGAAAAGATGAAATAGCCATATCCATAGGTTCGATAGTCAATGAAACGAGCTTTCAGAAACTGAGGAATAATTGAAAATCGGTCGAGGAAATCGAAAGTTATGATGATTCAAATTTGATGGAAAAAAATGCGATTTTACGTTTCATGTGTTGAGCAGTTTAGAAAAAAGAGCACTTACCATGATGAGTCATATTATCCGGTGGAAAAAACGACACCGAAGGCATCTAAGCTCAATAAGGACCAAACAAGGGCCAAACAAAAGAAGTACAACAGAACTGCAGGAGCGTGCTCTAAAAAATCAAAACACTCGAGCTCCTGCTGACAGAAAGTGAGCAGAGGAACGAAACAAACGAATGCGAATCAGCGCTAGATGGAGGGATATGAATACTGTGGGTACTCTGTTATGTTGTTGCAGCATTCAAGAAAATTGTCTGTGGAATTGTTAATTGCGGCCTACGAAAATTACGGTCACAGAAAGGTCAGCATATGAGGTAATTGAATAACAACAAAAAATAAATGTACGCTACACAAAAATACACAACAGCCATATATCATTTTTCTTTTTTTAAAAATGACTGTGTGTGGAAATCCATCGTAAATATAAGAAGATTCACAAACAATAAGATTTACGATATATTTCGTAGTAGCTTCTTCAAGTGACATGTTAGGTCATTTAATCTAAGTGAATAACTTTTTATACATAGATTATCCTCAAATTACCAGAAATTATAGCACTTTGTTCACTTTTGAATTCCTCTCGTCGTTTCAAACATATTTTATTCATAATCTCTACAATCAAGAAAAATTTCATATTTTGGTTTGCTTATCTCGACTATGATTATGGAATTGAAGCACAGCACCAAAGTCATTATTTTTGTTTTTTTAAATTTGCTGACACTCCAAAAAACTAGCTGTCAGCTAGGAGAGTCATTTTCGCAATTTTTTTGCAGTTTAATTCATGTAATGCAATGAAATTAATCATATGAAATAATATAATAATAATAATAATAATAATAATATCGTTTATTGTGCACAACAATGTTACACACAAAAGGCGGGGTTAGCCTAAGGCTATCCACCTCCCCCCCTTAAAATTCAACTCCACAACATTAAAGTATTTATAATGGGGGAGACCACTGACAAATGACATTATCGTGAACTCTATACTGAAAAACACCAGCGAATTGATTTTGAATTTTGTCATTCATGCTAAGACGATGGAAAAAATAAATTAGAATATGTCTATTTCAAAACACACAATTCCTGCGCCATTTGAAATTTTGTCGATTCATTGGTGTGACTGGTGCGACGTCTTATTCCCAACACGCCTATTGTCCTTGAACTGACCAATCACACTGCAACACTGCAGAATGACGAGGTATCAGAGAGAGATGGCTACAGTTCGGGACTAAAACGTCACGACTACACCATCATATTTGGCTGTTTGAAATATCGAATGAAATATGCTGATTTCAAAACGATATAGATTCGATTCCCTTCAGCTTTAACTCATAATATTGATTGTACATCAAACGTAAATCATGTTTCGTCGATTGAAAGAGGTATGAACGGATTTCTTCTCTCAGTGGTCTTCCCCATTATACTAGTCTGTTATACTTGATAACAGAATATTTTTTAGTTGAGATCTCACTTGAAATTCTGTTAAATTCAATAATGAAATGAACTTATTCAAACAAGATGGTGCCAAATATGAAAAACATCCTTCGTATTTCGATGTAACATGATGTGGAATGCTGAAAGTATCTGGTCGTATGTTGATATTATGTACGTCGGACCGGCGTGATATAAGTTCGAATAAATAATTGGGTGTTTTGGTTTTCAAGAGTTTGAATAAAAATATCGTTAGCAGGTATTGTATTCTACAATCCACATCCAATTCGTTTTGTCCTCTCAGATAAGGAGTTATATGGTCCCTTCCCTGGGAGCATACAAGCGTTTTGAATGCGTTGAAGTTTCAGTTTGTTATATTGTGGTAAAAAATTGTAATACACTGAAGAGCAATATTCTATATGGGGATTAATGAGTGATTTGACTAATCTCAGTTTTATCTCTGTTGATAATCGATATTTGAATTTATAAAGTGATTTCAATTTGAAAAATGATATTTTGAAGACGTGTTGTACAGGGTGATTGACTATGGATTTCTCGACTTCAACAGCTGATATCTCGAAAACGAAAAAAGATATTTGAAATTTGGAAAAAGTTACTTGAATGAGATGTCATTTCCTTCTGGAAAATGTGTTCTCTGCTTGATTTTATCATTTCATATACAGGGTTCGTGAAAAAAAAAATTTTTTTTTCAAATGGAACCCCCTGTATATTATCGCATATTGCGAAAGAGCTATCTTTCCTGATTTCAAAGATATATACTTCTCATATATTCTATCGAGGGCTTGACGAAATATCAGCAAAATTAAATATTAATATTTGGTTAGCTATGGTTGAAATAGAATGAGATGATGAATAAGTGAATTGACATTTGGCCAACATTCCAGTGACATAAGTGCGCAAAATTTCGACAATTTTCTCACGATGCCATATCCACTGGAACAAAGAAGAGATATTTTGGAGTGCTATTTTTCAGTTAATAAAAATCTTGCTGAAACACTTACACTTATACTTACTTAAATTTCATCTTTCGGATATGACAAGACAAAATTCAATCCGCTTCTCATTATCATCATAATTGAGTTTGTGGCATGGTCTAATTCTGAAATCCTTATATTTATATTTCCTTAAGGTATGTTGAACAAAATAATAGCTGAAACCAAACTCTCTCGCTGCATTTCTTATTGACCGTGAAGGATCCTCAACAAAATACTGGATTACAAGAAGTTCCTCGTCTTCGTTGTCTTGCCTTCAAACTATTCTCTTGATATTCAACAAACTGGAAGTTCTGTCAAATTCAGCAGCGAGTTCAGCAGCCAAATACTTTACATAATTCTTACTTGGTAATCTCCTGCCTGGATAACTCCTCATAAACTTATGAAGTGTTTCAGCAAGATTATTATTAACTGAAAAATAGCACTCCAAAATATCTCTTCTTTGTTTCAGTGGATATGGCATCGTGAAAAAATTATCGAAATGTTGCGCACTTATGTCACTGAAATGTTGACCAAATGTCAATTCACTTATTCATCATCTCATTCTATTTCAACCATAGGTAACTTGGACCAAATATTAATATTTGATTTTGCTGATATTTCGTCAAGCACTCAATAGAATATATGAAAAGTATATATCTTTGAAATCAGGAAAGATAGCTCTTTCGAAATATGCGATAATATACAGGGGGTTCCATTTGAAAAAAAAAATTTTTTTCACATACCCTGTATATGAAATGATAAAATCAAGCAGAGAACACATTTTCCAGAAGGAAATGACATCTCATTTAAGTAACTTTTCACAAATTTCAAATATCTTATTTCGTTTTCGAGATATCAGCTGTTGAATTCGAGAAATCCATAGTCAATCACCCTGTACATGTTTATGAAAACTCAAGTTTTCGTCGATGATCAAGCCAAAGTTTTTCGATGAGTCCACCCATTCGATATTAGTATTATTTATTTCAAGGTCAAATTCTTTTATATGTTTTTTTTTTTTTTTTTTTTTATCGCTTGGAGCGCACGAGAGGGAATCCCTATAATGTTCAAAGAACATCGTGCGTTCCTAGGGAGGATAGGGACAGGAGGTAGGTATTGGAATTTTTTTTGAACTTCTGGAGATTATATGTTGTTGGGAATACTTCCACAGGCAATGAATTCCAGAGCCTAGCTGTTCTATGGATGAAGGAGTCTTGATAAAGTGCTGTTCGACATCTTTCGAGGTTGACAACGAAAGGATGTGCTGACTGGGCTTGTCTAGTTCGTCTGATTGGTATTGCTAGTGAAGGGATGATAGCAGAGATTTCCGAAGAACATTTCCCGTGGAAGTATCGATAGAAAAGTGAAAGGTCGCCGACCTTTCTACGGTGTTCTAAAGATGTCAAAGAGTGAGTGAGTGTGGCGTCACCCACCAGGCGAATGGCTCTTCTCTGGATGGAATCTAAGAGCATCAGCGTATGTTTTGGTGCTGAACCCCATATGTGGGAACAGTATTCTAGAACAGGTCGTATCTGCGCTTTGTAGATCATGAGAAGCTGTTGAGGTGTAAAGTAGCTTCTCGCACGGAACAAGAATCCGAGTTTTTGGGAAGCAGCTTTTGCGATGGATCTGACATGATTATCCCATGAAAGAGTGTTGCTGATGGAAATACCGAGCATAGATATGGTGGGCTTGGTGGGGATGGTGGAGCCAGACATTACAATATCGGGCATACTGAGTTCCGCCTTTCTAGAGAAAATGCAGGCTTGAGTTTTGGTGGCGTTGAATTCAACTAGGTTGTTTGTTCCCCAGGCTGTGATTTCAGCAAGATCTTCATTGACAGCATTGACCTGCCTGCGCCGTGAGGTCTTAGTTTCCTGGGAAGAAATGGGAATTCTGGAAGAGAAAGCAGTATGGAGGGTACTATCATCTGCAAAGCTGTGGATGGGGCAAGTTGTTACTCCCAACAGATCATTGATATGAAGCAGGAATAATGTTGGTGCCAAAATTGATCCTTGTGGAACGCCGGAATTGATGCCAATGGTATCAGACGATACACCGTCCACCACCACGTGAAGCGATCTGCCTGAAAGAAAACTCGATAAGAGATGGCATAGCTGAGGTGGTAAGCCGTATGATGGTAGTTTGCGGAGGAGTCCTTCGTGCCAAACACGGTCGAATGCTTTCGATATGTCCAACGCGACAGCTAGAGATTCCCCGTGTTTTTCTATTGAAGATTGCCATAAATGGGTGACGTAAGCAAGTAGATCTCCAGTAGATCTTCGGTGGCGAAAGCCGTATTGTCTATCATTGATGATTCCTGAGGTCTCCAGATATTTGATAAGCTCAATATTGATGGCTTTCTCCATCACTTTGGAGATTACTGATAACAGGGCAATGGGCCTGTAGTTGTTGGGCAGGTTCTTGTTCCCTTTTTTGGGGATTGGTTGGACTCTAGCTGTCTTCCAGCATGATGGAAAAATACCCGACCTGTACGAGATGGTAAACAACTTGCAGAGAATCGGTGTTAATTCTGGTGCACATTTTTTGAGGATAATGGGTGGAATTCCATCAGGACCGTTAGCCTTATTCGTTTTGAGACCAAGCAAAATTCGTCTGAT